TACCTACCTTTCTTATGTAGCCAGATTATGTAAATAGTTAGAAGAAGGACTGTGAAAGCAAGAACCCCAATTATGGCCAGCAAGACGTTGTTAGATGGGCAGTTACATTCCTCAGGACCTAAAATGATTCATTTTACAAAGCTTTATCAAGTAACATTCAAACAACATTTACACTGATCGTGGTCGATAAACTGCTCTCATTACAAAGCTAAGACTCATGACCAAAAATCTAACCCTCAATGGCTAGGTACTAAAGAAAAGTAAGGTGCTAGTCTTTATATAATAGTTTTTAAAAGTAATATTTTGATTAATTGACTAAAAACAACAACAACGACAAAAAACAAAACGTGGAAATCTATCACTCACAGAAATGAGTTGTTTAATTACACAAATATGGAATACAATTGGAAAAAGTCCGTTTTCGGAAGAATACGTGTAAACATTTAACAATTTGACATGGTTTGACGATACTCTGGTTTAAAGATTTAATGAATAGGCCATCTTACAGTTGAGTACTTAGTTGCCAAGCCTTTGATTTGGAGTGAGGCTGAAGTTGATCATGTAATGATGGAGACCAGTATCTAGTTTGCATGAAAAAGTCATTTACATTTGAAAAGCAGCAAGGTTTGTTTCATAACAAGGTCACCTTCAGCCTCACTCCTGTTCAAAGGCCTGGCAGCCAAGCACGCAACTGTAAAATGGACTGAAAGTAACTGAGAAGTTACAATTCACAGACCCAACGTTTCAACACTCCTGTCTAGTGCCTTCATCAGGGGTGATCTAATTGTTGCACAGAGAGGTCCTTTAACACGCAAAATAATTAGCTGCCCTTTTTTCTGACGAGGTGCAAATATGCGTCAGGCAGTAAGCCGCCACCATCACGACTTAAAGGAGCGTGGGCAGAGTTGATATGCCAGGCTTCCAAACAAAGGCGCTGGTGGTGGTAAGTAGAGATAGTTTTAGAGTTATCCCACACAATTGTGTGGTTAGTTAGGCATGTGTGCTCCGACAAAGCTGAATTTTGAAAGCTCTTTGATGCTCTTTCAAACGTCTACCAAACTAAAGTTTGGTCTGTCCGATATACTCGTGATCACAGCCATTGCACGGAATAGAATAAAAACGTCGGTTAGTTGTTCATTTGTGATAGGATCCTTAGGTTTGGCAAAAACATGCCCTAAGGTCTGAAAAGGTTTTTGAGCAACACAAACGTTGTGGCTATTCAAAATTCTCTTGATGGGTTCCGTAACACCCTAAATGTAAGGAATAACAGCAAAACCAGACGCTGGTTCCTTCTCATGAGGAGTATTGCTAGTTATAACTTCATTCATTAAATCTTTAAACCAGAGTAGCACTAAACCATGTCTGGTTGTTTAGAGAATTTTAGTGTATTTAACAATTTCTTTGTTATTCCTACCTTTTGCTGCGCTTTCCGGGCCGTCTGTGGGGATAAAAACTCTATTTTAAAGCTGAATGAAAGTAACTGACAATGGTTAACAAATAATTGAGTTGCTCTCTGGTGGAAAAAGTAGCGCTGATAAAGTGATCAACGTAGCGACCCCAGAGTCCAGCCCCCTATTTACGCCTGGTGGATGACTCTCTATCTTTGCAATGCGTTTGTATGTCAAAGGTCGCTTCCCTGTCATTATAAATAAGTCCTCTATAGGAATGTAATTTCTGAATTTGATATTATTCACACAGCCATCGGCTGTGAGTATAATTGCTGCCGTTTACTTATTATTATTTAATTAACTTGTTAACTGAAATGTAGTAACAAAATACACTGCAAAACAACTTCTTGTGGTATCCGCCGCTTTCGCCCCCTATCGAGTTCGCCCCTTCGAGTTCGCCCCTACCTTATACCGTGTTCGCCCCCACACTTTTCGAGTTCGACCCCCACCAAGTCGAGTTCGCCCCCAGATTGAGTCATGTCTAAATTAGTTGCTATCGAACATTGCAAACAAGTTAGAACCAAGTTTATCTACCGAACATTTCGTGTTCGTTAGATAAACCGAGGTTGGTTTGCATCTTTTCCAGTCTGAATAATAAGTTAAGCAATGTTGTTTTGATTAAGTGTGGTTCTCTTTATCACAAGTTCAGTTTATACAGTTATTTCTGGTATTCCCAGATCCCACGCATAGTATTTAGTTGATTCCGTCAACCCAGTTCCCAAGCAGGTTCCACGCAATTGCCGAAATTCAAAATGGTCGTCGCTGACGTGACATTTGGCACATTCTGCTAGTGCCTTCGTCACAAATCAACTCATCTGGATATCACTCAATCAAGGGGCGAACTCGACTTGATGGGGTCGAACTCGAAAAGTGTGGGGGCGAACACGGCATAAGGTAGGGGCGAACTCGATAGGGGGCGAACGCGGTGCAATTCCTTCTTGTACATCAGCCAATATGCCTCTAGTAGGCACACAAATATCAACTGCGACGTAAGTGAAATTTTTCTCATTCATTCAGGTTTTTGCAAGCTAAGAATCCACCCGTAAATACCTCGATGTTTATGACATGGAGAGTGCTTGAAAACTAAGAAAAGAAAAGGATAAACCTTTGAAAAGGGAAAACAAGATTTATTTGAACATACTTCCTTCTGCCTTGACTTGCTGGATGTTTGCTCTCTCTTGTTTTAGGCTTTCACCAAGCTCATTAGTTGCAGTAATGGCAAACTGATATACCTTTCCTCTCTCCAACGTTATTTTCAATTCTCTCACAGAAACATCTCTGATTCTCCTTATTTCTGTCCACTGTTCCACTTTTCCATCAGTCACTACTCTTTGGTACACTGTATACATAATAATAACTTTTCCATTATTTTCTGGCTCCTTCCACTTTAAGGTAATTGTATCGTCTGTTATTTCACGCGGCAGTTCGTCCATTTCGACCACATCTGGGGCTCCTAGATTGATGTCAGCGACACGAACAGTGAGAAATTTCTTATAATTATACAACTCCTTGTTACAAACCTGGTCACAAACATTATCAGTGATAAAATAACCTGTAAATTGGTAGAGGATTTTTCTGGGATATTTTTTTTAAAAAAAGTGTATAGCTAGCATAATTAAGTTAAATATTGCTATGAATTCAAAGTAACTTGAAAGGACAAAAAATGATAACGGCAACCTTAATCGTTTTGGTTTGGGCTTATCCCTGCGAAATTAAAACAAGCTATGGGAATTTTAAAGTGCCGCCATTTTCCCTCGATAGACGATATAATTTATACTGGGGAGTATAATTTTACTGACGTTATTACCAACTGGCATTGGCTCTAGAACTACTTATAGCTTGACTTCTTTCACTCAAACTCTATTTTTTTGTGCTCGTACTTTTCTCATCATAAAGAAAATATACGGAGGACTCTTCGAGGCCGTCCACAAACTGTTTGACGAGATTTCCCCATAATATTGGCATATTAGAGAGATTTTCATGAAAGGCCCATTACCTCAAACTTCAGTTCTTTGGTCAACCAATGTGTGAAAATCGTCTTACTCTCAAAAGGGGCAGTTGGTTATTGGGTGTTCTGAACATAGCCGGTAAGAGTTTAGGAAAACTATATCCAACCAACTATCTAGCGGCCGTTGTTGTTGTTTATTTACACGAACAGGTCATGAAACGCGAACATCAAAAAATGAAAAGTAAAAAAAGGCAAACAATACTTGATAAAACGGGTAGCATTTACGGAATGTAGCCGCGTAGGTTGTCCATTGTTCTCACCTATGTTCCCTTGTGGTTTATTTATTATTATGCTTCTACAAACGTAGGTACCTCTCAAATAACTATTAGAAAGGGAAAGGAAACTGGCCACCAAGGAGTAGAAAAACACTTTAAACAAAAAATCTTATAATGCGGTAAGCAGATAACATTGTTAAAACTGGGACAAATCTACGTTTGCAACAAAATAATTGATGTAAAGTGTTCAGTCATGAAATCACTTGTGATTTCTCACCTTCAAACTTGGTCTTAATCGTCCTTACAATAGGATCTCCCTCGAATACAAAATTTCTGGAAAACAGTTTCACTGTGTAGTTGGTATTTTTCTCCAAACCACGAAACGAATAAGTTGTCGTCCCAGGATCGGTGATATTATCCTTTTCTATCTCAGTTTCACCCTTTTGTAAGATCAGTCGGTATCCTGTAATTGGACTTCCTCCATCATCAGCTGGTGCAGTCCATCTTATTGTTATAAAAGTTGCTTGAATTACTGATTCTGATGATTTGATGGATGCTTTCCCTGGTTTCTCTTTATAGTGCCATAAAAAAGATCATTTTGAGCAAAAAAAAAAAAAGGGAAGGAGAAATTTGGGTGATTACACACAATGAGTTTTGTGACAATACTTAGGATGAATGCAAGTCCTTGTATTATCACAATTTAATGAATGTATATGCAGCTACCAGATAAATTCAGCCAAGACCCTAATAAAAAGAGGAAAAATTAAGAGTCCATGGTTGAGGAAGTTCCTTATGAATACTTTCATGGGAGGATGTCATCAATCTGCCTGAAGTTCAACACTCTTTTGTGACGTGTTTAATGCTACCAAAGGGCAAGGCGTCGATAGTTTACTGTAAATCCTTTTTTTAAAAATATGGATGCATTTTCCACTAAAAGATCAGGCTGACTGTATCTGGCATAATTCCACTATTAACCCTTCATGCCACATTGCGAAAAACGAACGAACGCGAAAAATATGTGAAGGTCTAACGCTTCTAAAGAGTGGAAAAATACGAATGGAACGCTCAGATAAGGCCACATAGGATGTATGTGGAAATCTAAGCAGCCAAATTGTTAGAAAACGATAAAATAGTAATATAATTAATCTCTTATTTGATGGTTTAACATAAGCTTCTATTTTTCCACACACCTGAGGGCCTTGCAAATTATCCGCAAGTATTATAATTTCAATTATCGAATGCGTTGTACAAACGGAATAAGTTACCATGTCGATTACTTTGTAAGAAAATTTGGCTTTTACTTCTAATACACTTGAAACAGTGATAGTGAGCAAAGGCAAAAGAGAATGCGGACCTTCTGTATAGTTTTCTTCTTATCAAAATACACTGATATTTTTTACTTACTTATCCGATTTATCTTTATTAACTCCTCATCAGATGGAACAAGTCCATTGGCAGCAATGCACTTGTAATGACCAAAATCTTGATCACCCCTGAGTGGCACTTGTACTTTGTTTTCTCTGGTTCTGACTCTGTTTATTTCACTTCCGTTAGGTTTGTACCAATAGAGTGTTGGTGTAGGAACACCATCAGAAAGACACTTCAAAGTCACTGTCTGGCCAATCCAAGACTTCTTAGATGACGTGGTGACATTTTGAATTGTGGGCGGGTCTAAGAATAAATACCAATGCAATAAGCAATTGAATAAATAATTGGTGATACTTCATATCAATCAGAATATTAATGAGCTTTATCATTCCACTACTGTGTCATTTTACTAAATGAAGTCATGAGAACAGGAAAAATTTGCCACAGTATTACACTTTAGAACAAGGCAAAAATACGTAGCAACATTGGTCGCACTGAACGATTCAAACTTTACTTATTTTGTTTTGTTTTGCTGGCTGGGCATTATTTTTAAGCAAAGATGTGGGTCACGACCTCAAGCCGATAAATAACTTATTAATCCTCTCTTTTCCCTCTCTCTCCCAAATTGCTTTAAATGCCAGCAAAATATTGGTTTAGAAATGAATTTTTTGGTAGAAAAATTGTGTCATTAAATGGGTTGACTCGTGGCCTAAAAACCGTTTGTAATTAATTTCAAGCCTCAAAAAGTAACTCAGAAAAATAAAACGTGAGGAACTTGTTGAAAATTGAATTGATCAATAGGACTTTCATTAATTCAATAGCAGAGCGCGGAGAGCGCGCAGCGTAGCTCATACTTATAAAAAAAAGTAATAACTGTAACTCATCAAGCCGGAAAAATTTGATCGTACGATCAAAATGGGATAGGGAATAGCCATTACGTAAGTATCGGGGAAACAGAGAAAGTAATGCGCACGTGCGATCGAGTGCGTAACTTAGAAAATCCCATTTATTTGGATTTGTGTGCACTACAAAACTCAAGTAAAAAGTTGGGTTATTTAGTATTATCAAGTGAGTTGATGGCGTAAGTTAGCCACCGTAAAGAGTTAAAAACCTGACGTTTCAAGTCTTAGCCCTTTGCTCTGTCTAAGAGCTAACGCTCGATACGTCAGCTTTTTAACTCTTTACAGTGGCCAATTTACGTTATCTGGTGCGTGAACACCCTGTGGCTGGAGGGTGGTTGAAATTCCAAATCAGCAGGCCTAGAAAGGGCTGCAAAAACCTGGAGACTAGGTTTTCAATGTCCACCTTCTAGCCAGCCTGACTGAGGAAAATGCAGGGGGCTCAACTACAAGGATAGCGCTCGCATGCAGCCCAGCCACCGCCCTATTCTTGGATGGGATACAAATCTCTCTTTGTGGGAAATTTTCAATTTTGAAAGGGTCTTTTCTTGGATATTGACTTGGTATGTTGGGGTGAATGTAGATATAAATACACTATATAACTCTTATTTTCCTATCAAAGAGGTGATGCACGATACATGTATATTTCACATCGAGAGAACACTACTTTTTTATAGTACGAAGGTGAAAAAAAAATTGACATCAGCTATTGTGCTGTCCCTTTTTCCTTATAATTTATTATGTTGTCACCTTTTGATTGGAGTAAAAAGTGTTTATTTCTAGAATTTTTTCAGTTGCGACGTTTTGAAAATGGGTGTATTTATGTAACGTCAAACCTGTATTGAGCGTTCACCCACAGGAGATGGCGTTCCACAAAATAGGGGTAATATTCATAATGATAAAAAATGCCAATTTATGCCATAGTTGATAATCTTATGTAAAAACTCGTTAAAATATTAACGAAAGAGAAACATGGATTAAATTTTACTCAAAAACTCATTCTTAGTTTTAATTGAGTGGTTCCGCTTAATGCGACCGTTCATTACAGTTGGAAGACAATACAAACAGGTTGTTGTCACTCACTCAAAGGTGACCATGACCACTTAATAGAGGTAACCACTAAAAAGAGGTGGAAATAACATCGATTGAGGAGAAAACAAATTGGGGACTTTGACAACTGACCACTAAATACAGGGTGACCGCTTAATATGGCGCTGCTTAATGTAAATTCGACTATATCATGGATTCAGCAGCAGAGGCAGCTTTTTATGACATACTGGAAATAAGACTTACATTGTACAGTGACATAAGCTCTTACTGTCTTTTCCTGTCTTACTCCATTGCTTGCGATGCAAACATATTCTCCTGCATCGTTCCTGTTACTACTGATGATGTTCAACTGTTTGCTGTGGGACAAATTAATCCCAGATTTTTCCCATCTTATCGTAGGTTCAGGAAAACCAGAGGCATCACAACTCAAAAACAGAAGAGTTGACCTATTAACTGTTATATTCTGTGGCACTTCTGTAAACTGGACAGGAACTAGGTAAGAAGAGAGAAACAACAAAATTTTCACACCATAACATTAGAGTGCGATTTGGTTCAAAACCATCCACTTCATAACTATAACTAAAATTATAAAATGTAGCACATACATAAAAAAATCTTAAAAAAACTTCCACTACGTCAGCTAATCAGAAATTACATCAGTTTTAAAATACTCTAATGAAAAGCATAAGTCACAGTCTTTGGCGGACACAGGATAATTGCTTTGGAATAATGTCTTGATTTTTTTAAAACCAAAAAAATAAAATCAGACCTGGGATTAATCTCAAACTTGTACCTAAATTCCAGGTATTTTGCTACACAATTAAATGTACCACCTTGTTAAGGCTCTCAGAAAGCTACACAAACTTACAGACTTCTCGTGCCTGACAACAATCTAGGGTAACCACAGGGTGCCATTTCCACCAAATCATTGTTTAGTTTCTATAATGCACTTATGAATCATTATTTTGCACAAGTTCATCATAATTAGGCATTTTTTTATCATTAGGTACCTGTTTATCATTGTTAGTGACCAGTTCATCATTATTAGGCACCTGTCCACCATTATTAGGCACTAGTTCATTATCATCAGGCACAACTTTTGCTATTAGGCACCCATTGCACCCAAGTGCCCATGTTAGGCACTGGTTCAATTTTCCAAGACAGGATTTCTTCACCAGCACTTTTCCCAACTACCTTGGGAAAGGTAGCAACGACCTCACACTCCACGCTCATTCTCATTACTCTCAGGAAAAGCCTGAAGGGGGGCAACCCGAATACCAGGGTCCCTATTCTTCCCTGTTTGAGGTTGTAATAATTCACTCTGTGGGAAGTTTCATTGACACAATGTAAACGGGTAAAAAACTTTTTCCCGTTTTGGATTATAATTCCAAAGTACTCAAAAATTCACAAAGATGTGTCTACCCACCATTTATGTTAAGTCTCACAGTGGCTTCTGCTCCATCTCCAGCGTCATTATGTGGGACACATTTGTACACGCCAGAGTGCTGAGATCGATTGACGTTATTGAGAGTATACTCACTGATGCTTTTCCCGCTTAAGAGGCGGCCATTGAAATAGAACTTGTAAATTGACACTTGTGGCACAGCAGCCATAACTATGCACTTGAATGTAACTGTGTCTCCTTCAGTGACGGTATTTTGTGAAGCATTGGTAGTGAGCCTTGCACCTTCGGGTTTGTCTAAAAATGTAAATCAAATCAAAATCTTAATCCCTGTTTATTTCATGGCTCATACATTCCCCCTGGTTATAAATCATAACCTCTTGTAAAAGTATAGAGGGTGCATGATAATGAAACACGGACGGGTTAATCGTCTGTGGGTTAATTTAGTATCAATTCATGGAATGCCTTGGACAGAAATATAACACTTTTGTAATGGAAAATTTCAGCAAGTCATCCACCCATGGTTAGAATGCTGACTAAAAGCAAAGTACTTTAACTTACACATTGCACGCTGAAAAACAATGGCATTACTGCAGCAAGAAAAATAACACCAACTATGTCGTTACCAGGAGAGCTATTTTAAATCCTCTGTTAACTACAGTGAGCAATTTTTGAAGGCCAACTTCACTTGTTACCAGACATAAGAACGTCGCTCATGCAGAATTTCTGGTGAAAATCCTAAATTTTGAGCCAGAAGACGAGTGCAACAGTGCTCTAACGGCTGCACGTGAGAGGATTTCATTTCGCGAAAAAGCGAAAAACCCAATTTGAATCTAAGACATTCGTAATTTTGCTCAATTGGTTCCAGAATGATGTTCATCTAAGAACTTTCTGAAGAACAGAGCCTCCGTTGATCAATTTAAGAGAAACCCTATGTCAAGGGCCTCATAGGCTAAGTGCTTTTAGAGAGAGAAGCATTTTCAAAATCATGATCGATTTTTGGTTCGACTTCACTACCAAAGATGCGAAAAAATAATTCATACTGTTGTTAACAATCCAAGCTTCCTCAAGTTTGCCATTGCAAGCACTTTGTAGAATAAATAAATAAATAACCTGCTCCAGGAGTTGAGCAAGGAAAACGGTACAACTAATGCAAAATAGTGTATGGCACGATAATAGCAGCAGAGCAAAAAACCAAAACAAAAAACGTGGGAGATTTTGGTCAGGTTGCGTTCATACTGTTGTGCTTCATTTTACTTCTTGAATCTGAAACAAGCTAAATAAAATTACAATTGTGATAATAAGTATTTTAAGTTCACACGGGCAATAGAATGTAAACTATTTGTTTGAAAGAACAACATAAGGTAAACTAAAGTAGGAACACTCCTATGGTTAAGGGGAGGGGTGGAATTGGTAATTCTATCGCATTGAAAAGAAGAAAATTTCCATCACACAATTCAAGATATTTACCATATTGTATTGATATCATTTCTACAATTTCTGCCCACTGGCATCGTTATCAGATCTTAAAAGTAAATAAATATAAACCAGAACGAGAAGAACAAGAAGTGTTATCAAGTTCTTAAAACATATTTTTGAATGAGATATTT